TCGGTTCTCCCAGTTTAGATTAATTAATGATAGAAATTCATGAAGCATCTTTTTACCGCTCTTAGGGCACAGTGTTTAGCTTAATTAGTCAATCTGAAAGGCAAATGGGTGTTAATAGCTGTTTTTTAAGAGCTTACTGTGTCTTTCTCACAGAAGTGACACAGCTCTTTAGGCTGAAAAACAGAGGCATTAGTTGTGTTACGCTCTTTACAGTGATGCCATTTGAGATTTTGCACAGCGCTGATGATGATCCAGGGCCATTTTACCTGAGTGCTCAAACTGTTTATCCACCTTGGCAAAGGCAGACGGCAAGGCTTTCCTTTATTGGCTGTAATTTGAGGTGTGGATTTTTCCCTTCCTGAAAAGGATTATCAGAGCCTTACTTTGCCAAGAGCCCAATGTGGAGAGACAAACTGCTGCCCAATGGGATAATCACTGCCAGATTGGAGTACTTAATCTTGGTGGCTGTCATATTGCTTTTGGGCATTAGAAATAGTTTGAACCTGGATTTTACCTAGTTCATCTTTCTCAGTTTTTTTTCTTTAAGTGTATAAAATGTTTGTGTATGTATTTGCACATATAGTATTTATACAATGTAAAGTATAGGATACAAAGTTTCATCTGTGTGTATCTCAGTATTCTGGAGCGCCACGTCCAGGACCAGATTCCAGGTGCCAAGGTGATTGTAGAGGCTATCGGGCCACGTCGCCATGGTGATGGCTATGAGTTAGAAGACTACTCTAAGTCGGACCTGATGGTATACGCCATTGACCCACTCACGAACAGGGCCATTTCACGTCAGGAGCTTTACAAGTGAGTGGGTGAATTTTGTTACAAGAAGTCCAGTCCACCATTTGGTTTAAATTGATGTCCTAATGTCCTCGCTGTGCTGCATGTTTCCCCTGCTGCCTCTTTTTACCCTCTGTTCAAGCAGTGAGTCAGCAAATATGTCTTTTTCAGACTCCCTTTAGCTTCCTCCTCTACAGCATCTCCACTTCACTGCCTCTATTTTCTTTAAAAGACTTTGATTATGCTGCTGGTGCACTGCAACTGAAATATGTCATAGGGAAGTGGAAGATACAAGGGAGAAAGGAAGCAATGGGGTCATGGAGGGACAAAGTGAGACTGAAGCAGGGAATATTTCAATCAGTCCATCCACCCATCATTGCAGTACCTCAAAGACTGTTCTGAGGGCTGGGAGATATGCCAGCAATACATTTTTATTCCTTTTATTTCCGGACATAAAGCTGAAGAGAGTGCCCACGGTCTGCCAGAGAGTGTGCTTAAACACCAAAGAGGCACACAGCACCACAGTAGAAATAAGTACAAGATACTTTGTCATCCTATCAGAGGAAAGAAGACCTTGGCCTTCTTTCCTGGCACCTCAGGAAAGTGTTTCACTCACTGTTTTGATGTTCCCCATCCCTTCTGTTGAACTGATCAGCAACAGATCTTAATAAACTTGACCAGCATATGAGAGCATGCCCATTCTGAGTTCCGGCTTCCACTCTTGATTAAATTGCATCCGTGTACCTTATGCTTAGCAGCCTGGAACCGTCCTCTGCAAAAACAGAGTTCAATCATTTGTAAGTTATTTAAACACAATATATAATTGAAAATAGTACCTTCATGCAATCCAGACTGCCCTAAATTCTGAAAGGGAAAATGTGGCTATGGAGGCCCAGACTATTGGGCGATAGAAATATATTAAGCAAGAATGGGAAAACTTAATTGGTTTGCTCTGGTCACAAATTCTTAAAAGGAGAATTGATGTAACACAGCGGCAAACACGATCCTGCACCGACTTTTAAAAGGCTGTCTATGGCATTAAATTCGAAATAATCATGCATTAAAAAAAGGAACGGTTTTAAACATTTAACATGTTGTTTTGGCACTATATTTAATTTAAAAAGTGGTATTCATTGTTTGCAAAGTATGAT